AACCAGTGCTGGTAACACGAGCAACAGCGAACTGGATAGGGACATTCAGCCTAAACCAGTATAAATCCATGTGTCCTCCGAGCATAGCCATCCGGGTCAGACGCGCAAATCACAAAAATTACTAGCCGGTGATTCGAAACACCGACAGGCGACGAGTCAACGTCGTATTAAGGGAGAGCAAGAACCGGAATAGAGCAGAGCGGCGTGGAAGGCACCAGATGACCCAACCCCAACACCCTAGACGGCAAGATTATCGGCAAGCGGGGAAGAGGCGCCAGAGGGTACGGGCGGATGGAGCCGAGGACGAAGGCAGTGGCGAGGCCTAGACCACCAAAAGGGCGAGGGACATCCCGAGCAGGAGGCCGCGGCGGGCCGAAGCATGGGAGGGGGTTGCCCGCTGAGCCAGGAGGACTGTTGGCAGGGTGGCTGAGCGGGTGCACACCATCCTCACCCCTATTGCTGGGGAAGAAGGGGCGTAGGTGGTGAAAGCTCTAGTTTGGTTTTGGTGAATTGATGAAACCCTAAGTGCTAACCTAGTTTATCAAGTGATCATGAAATAGATAGCATATTCCAAGTGGTGAAGCAAATAAAGATCATGACATGATGATGGTGATGCCATGGTGATGATCAAGTGCTTGGACTTGAAAAGAAGAAAGAGAAAAATAAAAGGCTCAAGGCAAAGGTATAAATGATAGAAGCCATTTTGTTTTGGTGATTGAGACACTTAGTGAGTGTGATCACATTTAGGATCGATAGCCATACTATTAAGAGGGGTGAAACTCGTATCGAAATGCGGTTATCAAAGTGCCACTAGATGCTCTAACTCATTGCATATGCATTTAGGATATAGTGGAGTGCTAACACCCTTGAAAATGTTTGTGAAAATATGCTAACACATGTGCACAAGGTGATACACTTGGTGGTTGGCACATTTGAGCAAGGGTTAGGAACTTCATCGATGCCCTATACAGAAAAGACGGAGGTCACTGTAAGTGACCGGGCGCTGGTCTCGGTTGGACCGGCGCGTCCGGTCGATAGCTGCAGAGGGCGCGTGCTTTCGGTCTCTGACCGGACGCTGGGTCACTTAGTGACCGGATGCTGGAGGGTTGCGTCCGGTCCTGCTGACGTGGCAGCGCACAGGGGAGACACCGAGTGACCGGACGCTAGGTGAGTCCGGTCAAGCATGATCGAACGCGTCCGGTCGTGAAAAATTGTTTCTGGATGCTTACTGGAAACGACCGGACGCTGAGGTCCAGCGTCCGGTCACTTCGCAGCAGCGCGTCCGGTCATCACTTGACCGTTGGGATTAGGCGCTTAGTATTTGAAGAGAGGGGACATGTGGCGTGCATCACACGACCAGACGCTGAGGTCCAGCGTCCAGTCAATATGACCGGAGCGTCCGGTCACCCCGTGTTGTGCCCAGTGAAGGGGTATAACGGCTCTATTTCGTGGGGGCTTCTATTTAAGCCCCATGGCCAGCTCAAGCTCACTCTCTTGGACATTTGCATTGACATAACAACCTTGTGAGCTTAGCCAAAGCCCTCCCACTCATTTCCATCATAGATTCAACATCTTTGTGAGATTGGGAGAGAATCCAAGTGCATTGCTTGAGTGTTTGCATCTAGAGGCACTTGGTGTTCGTGTTTCGCTGTGGGATTCGCTTGTTACTCTTGGTGGTTGCCGCCACCTAGACGGCTTGGAGCAGCGAGGATCGTCGAGTGGAGGTTGGTGATTGTCTCCGGCTCCGATCATGGTGATTGTGAGGGGTTCTTGACCTTTCCCCGATGGAGAGCCAAAAGGTACTCTAGTGGATTGCTCGTGGCTTGTGTGATCCTCATCTTGTGTTGGTTGTGCGGCACCCTATTGAGGGTTTGGCGTGTGATGCCAATTAGCGCATGAACCTCTAAGTGAGTGAATCGCCACAACGAGGAGTAGCTTGTCGGCAATAAGTGAACATCGGTAAAAATCATTGTGTTCATCATTTGATTCCAAGGTGATTGGTCTTCATTAATATTGATTCTTGTAATTGATTGGTTCACTCCTCGACATGGGGTATAACTATCTTGCTCTCTATCTTTACATTACCGTAAACTAGTTATCAAGCTCTTTAGTGTAGCTTGTTGTGAGAGCTTGTTAGATTGGTTAGTGTAGCTCTTTAGTTAGTCTTTGAGAGCACACTAACTTAGTGTAGTGACATAGATATTGTGTGGATAGAAACTATAGAAACTAGAATTGTGGTAGGTGGCTTGCATTTTTAGTAGGCTAGCGCAACACTCGCTTCGCTTCATAATTGTCTAACCGGTTTGCTAAGTGTTGTTGTAGAAATTTTTAATAGGCTATTTGCCCCCTCTAGCCATTAGGACCTTTCAGGTGGCCATTCCCGTCGAGTTGGTCCTCACGACGCCAGGCGCGTAAAACGTCGATCTGGAACATGGCGCCCAAGCCGTCGTTGTTGGCAACCCAGAGGTCATCTGGGATCTGGTCCGGGCGGCCACAAGCGACGACGACACGCATAGAGGAATAGTCATCCTCAAGGCAATCTGAGTCAATCTCGATGATCGTTCCAAGCTGCTGGAAGGCAGCAGGGATGCCCACCGGGTTCTAGTGCTCAGCACTGAAGTGAGTGGCTGAGATCGCAACCAGCCAGTCCGAGGACACCCGAAAGCGGTTCTCTGTCTCCTCGGAGCGCACTAGGGAGACCCGTCCACCACCGTGAATGATGCGGGACAGATCTACCGCCATGTCGCGCTTGATGGCCGAGTCAAACACCAGCATCATGTGCCCATGGGAGGAGGGGAACAACCGGAAGCGTGTGTTGCTGGCCACGGAGAATAGAGCAGCCCTGATGAAAGGAGCCGGGCTCGACGTGGGCGCGTCATCGTTGATGGTGGTGTAGGTGATGTGCGAGGCGAACTCCATGTTGCTGAGAGGCATCCAGAGCAGGCCCTGATCTAGGTTCTCGCTAGGTGAGGAGGGCAGGGACGAGGCCTGCGCCGATGAGCCATCAGAGTTGGCCTCTGAGGTGGCCTATGAGATGTTGTCGTTGACTGCGCGAGCATGGGGGTTCGCCTGCACCCCAGCATCAGCTCGCACAGGAGCAATCACCGTCATGGCCACCGGCTCACTAGGAGGAGAGCGTCGTTCGGGGGAAGATAGGCTGACCTAGCCCGACGCTGTCGGAGAGGAGGCAAAGTGGAGCTCACGGAGCCAAGGCACCTGGCCAACGTAGTGCTGAAAGAGGGTTGAGATGTTGGGTGAAGACAGGGAGCGGCGGATGCAGGGAGTAGCGATGGGAGGGTCCAAAAGGGTGGTAGGGGCAGGGGTGGAGGCGGGAGCATCAGCGGCGGTGGGGGTGATAGGAGTAGGGAGCTGTGAGGCGGGTGGGGTGGAGCTGGAGGAGGCAACAAGATTGATGGGTTCAAAAGCGGTGAGGAAACCAGGAGGGGGTCAATGGTGGGGGACTGGGGGACAAGGTGGGAGGCGGCGACGCGGAGCGAGAGGAATTAGGCATGCCGAGAGGGATAGGGCTCACCAGCACGTGCGGAGTAGAAGGCGGCGTCGTGGAGTCACGCGGGAGGGTCGTGTCCGCCCTGGGGGGCAGACGTTGTCGCGGCGGACACGAGGACCTGCAGTTGCGCTCCATGTGGCCGTAACCACCGCAACAACGACACCGGCTAGGGTCACGGCACTCTTTAACGTGGTGGTCGGAGGTGAGGCAGCGGAAGCAAGCGCCGCCGTGAGGACGGAAATGCGCGGTGAACTTGATGGGATGGGGGAGAGGAGGATTTAACACGGCTTCAAGGTAGGACGCCGGACGGCTGGGCTTGAAGGCCTTGCTCCAAGCGGGGTTGGTCGCGCGGTTAGTTGCAGGGACGCAATTGTCAGCCGCGCGGCCTGACGTGGCGTGGCGTGCCTCGGGAGGGGGAGCAAAGGGGGAAGAGAGGGAGAGGTGGGAGTGGGTAGTGTGTTAATTAGAAAGTAATGAGAATGGGTTTGCCCTGATTTAGACAAGAGTATACTTTGGTATGTTGCTATAACTCCTGTATAATTTGAGGTTTTGTCAAATGTCGATTTGTCAATGGTACAGAGCCTTTACATTTTTTTCATTGTCCTATAAAATATCTATAAATAGGTCCTTTTATTTACAAATAAGTCTCTGAAATTTCAAAAAAAAAAACAACAACGGGTGAGACATGATGACACGCAGTGGTGGAGGCGTGGAGCTTGGAACCAAAGCCATCATGGGATAATTATTAATGAACAAGGCTAACCTTTATTTTCATCAATCCAAATGGAAGCAACTAATGGAGTTTACAAAAGTTTAGGGGTAGCTGTGGCCCCTATTGGCCTTTGTGAAGCTGACGAGGCAGGAAGGATTTTATTATTTGGTGAAGGGTGTCTCTCAATTCTTTTGATCTTTTATTGTAGATAGATAGAGATAGAGATAGAGATATAAATACATTAGAACATATATAGATATAGATATAGATATAGATATAGATATAGATATAGATATAGATATAGATATAGATATAGATATAGATATAGATATAGATATAGATATAGATATAGATATAGATATAATTATTATTATTATAGATAGATATTAAACTTGGTGAAGTTTAAACTAATAATAAGACAAGCGGCCTATATTTTGGAATGCAAAAGTGAGGCATATCGGCATTTCACATTCACGCACTGCTTGCTGCATGTTCATTACAGTGGCATGGCATGCATCGGCATTTCACATTTATTTTCACACCCTGAACCAGTCTCAGTCGTATCATTGATACCCCAACTAGTCAGCCAGTGTATGTATGTAGAAATAAATATCTCTCAACTGAAATCATCTATTGTTAGCCATCGGATCTCCTATATATCTAGAGCTAGCGTACGATCTCCCCTCAACCACCTCTGGTAGTCCTGTTCCATCCCCGGCGGCGGCGCTCGGGTGTCCCTCGACCCTTTCTCGCTCCGATCCGCCGCGACGCACACAGCAGATGAACGGCATGGCCAACAAGAACAAGGTGGCGGCGCTGCTGCTCCTCTGCTTCCTCTTCCTGGCCGTGATCGTCTCCGCCGAGGTGTGTGTGCATGCTGCATTGGTGATCTCTCTTCCTGGCTCTCCAGTCTCTTACATTTTCTGCTTGAATTGCTCTGCCCTGCACCTATCTCGACAACTCTGAAGATCATCGATGCCAATGGGATCGACGACGACGGTGAAGAGACAGACAAAGGCGGCGCCCACGGCCACCAGAAGCACAAGGTAATATAAACTGACCAACACGACTGGATCGGATCGGATCGGATCGGAGTACATACATACACAAAATAAGCTTTATTACGAGCACGACGACAGATCCATAAGATCCTGGAAATGATGAACGCATGCATTTGCTGTTGTGCAGGGCCACAACAAGGATGGCAAGGGAAATCTCAAGCCCTCTCGTAAGTCGTAGGCATACATATAACTCATATAGATAGATGCTTTTGTTCAGTTGTTCTTGCATTTCTTGCTGTTGTTTTGGTCAGTTTGCTACTTCGTCTTGTTTGTGCAACAAGAACAAGTGCTGATGAATGAAGCGCAAACAATGCATTGGCATTGCGATTGTCGTTGCAGAGTGCGGCGGGGAGTGCAAGCGGCGGTGCTCCAAGACGCACCACAAGAAGCCGTGCCTCTTCTTCTGCAACAAGTGCTGCGCCAAGTGCCTGTGCGTGCCGCCGGGCACCTACGGCAACAAGGACGCCTGCCCCTGCTACAACAACTGGAAGACCAAGAAAGGAGGGCCCAAGTGCCCATGATGCATGCATGGGCCTTCCAGCCTTTCTGTTATCCACCCACCGGCCCGTGTCTTTCTTCCTGGACAACCTAGCTGTGTAGCTAGGAATAATAGCCTGTTTTTGTTTTGGTCATTTCGGGGTAGGATCAGTTATCCTCTGATTAAAAAAAATATTCAATCATCAAAAAACAAAAGAATTCAGTGTGCCCTCTCTGCGCTGTCGCCACTCGCAAGCGACAAAGCAGGTTAGTATTCGCCTAATCTTGCCAGACACGGGTTGCTTTCTACTACTGGTAGTCATTAAAAACCTCCACGCCATCAGATCGATCCATGCGTGATTGGTCGCTATACCAAGACACCGAGTATCATCATTGGATCATCAATCAGGATTACATGACCAACGGTTTGACTATTGTGAATTCAAGAGCAGATGCTACACCTAAACTACCTACTATACTCCCTTGCTCCATCCCAAAAACAGTACATTTCTCGTTATTTGAAGAGTCCAATAATTTTAAATTTATTCAAACTTTGCGAAATAAAAGTAATACTAATATTTATAGTACTGATAAGTATTATATTATATTATTCATGAAATATATTTTTATAGAAAACCTATTTAGAAAAAAAGATCTATGCTATTTTCTGTTAATTTAGTCGGACTTTTTTTTTAAAATTTGATTCAGATTTCAAATCAGAGTTGCACTATTTTTAGAACGGAGGGGATACTCCACTCAGCCATGCCAGGACATGCCTATTGCCATAGGCAGACAGACCAGGCACTATCCATGAGCATACAGATTGGACAAGGGAGATGCCCTTTGTCCTCCAAGTAACAACAATCATAATAGTCTGTCCAGTTCTAGGTTTGGTTAGAGCCGAACTAAATTAAGTTTCATTGAGTTTATGCAAAATATTGTCAACATTTAAGACTCTAAATAACGTATTATAAAAAATATGTTTCAGAACATATTTAATTTTACTTAATATAAAAAAAACTCAAATACGTATGAGCTCTGCATTTAAGAAACAAAAGAGTTTTAGAAATTTTATAATGGTTGAAAAAAATAAGAACCATCCATTGGGAGGAATCGAACGGTGTATAAATAAGAGGTACCAGTGCGAAAGTACTGAGAAGTACCAAAACGGTGAGGGATAGTACTAAAATTAGGTAGGGCTAGTACCAAAATAGGTGGGCTAAATCTGGATTTTTATTATTTATTTATTTTTTTTATTAAGGGTAGAACTGTAATTGAATAGGTTTATGATGGGGTAAAATTGGGATGTGCCATCCACCCGTACCCATGGGTCACCTCGTCCTTCTCCCATGGCAGCGGGCAACCTGGCAGAGAGTGGCCAGCCCGCCGCCGACGCCTGTCGCGAGGGATAACACACAGACGGAAACGGCTCGTCCGCAAAAGGACTGCGTCTCGTGCAGCTTCCTCCTCCGGCAACTCCGCCTGGCGCCCTTGCCGTCGTCAGCTCCAAGGCATGAAGGAACAGCAGCACAACAAGTTGAGAGTGTGGCGTGCCTAGTCGACAGCTACCTTTCCAAGGTGTCCCGGTACGGGAACCTTGCCCTGGGCAAGTTCCAGGCCCTGGCCGAGATGCTGCCGGAGTCGGCACGCGTGTGCCACGATGGGCTGTACCGTGCCGTCGTACCTGAAAGCGCCGCCGTCCTACCATCGCTTCCTTCCTTCCGTTCCGTTGAGGTTCAGTGTCTCGTTTCTGACTTTTTCCACCTTCTGATTCGGTGTGCCGGCTGCAATGGCCTGCATACCCTATCAACTCACCTGTAGCAGTATCAGTAACAGTACCAGGGCCATCTCATCTTTCAGTCAGTCAGTCAGCCCAGCGGATCGATCGTGTCCTTCTTCCATTGGTGTCGCCGCAAGCAGCGTCCGATTGGACGCGAACCAGAAACAGACACGATGCCATGTCTTCCGTGCCGCCAATGGCAGACACGCTGGCCCTAGCTTACCTCCACAGTCGCCCACCACGCACCACCTTTCCCCTCCGATTTGCCCGGTCGCTCACCGGTCACTGCATGCATGCTCGTATGGATCCAGCAGCGATTTGACGGCCGCGGATCGGATCGATCCTCAGCCAGTGCACAAACACGTAACGTATGGACCTGAATTACACAAACACGTATGCATGCGATGCGTTCTTCAGACTGCTTCTCTTCTTCTTCTTTACCTGCATTGACCCCAAGCAAGTCGCTGTCTTGCAGCTAGCGTCAGTTGCGGATGAACGCTGGGCAAGCTGGCTGCTCATACGAGTGTGGTGGATCTGTCAAATTAATATTGTATAGGAGTCTCCTCTTAATGAAAAACATGCTCAGCCATAGTGGCTGAAAAAAGATCCAGAGCAGAGCAGAGAAGGCAACAACTACATAGGTAGCAAGCAGCTCAGGTCCAACCAAGTTTGCGGTGCTAGGACTGGGAGCCAAGCTGGCGGAAAGGGAAGAGGGCTTCAATTGCACGCGACTCCTCCCCTTCACTTCACATGCAGACTCACATCCCATCCATCCGTCCGTCCTTGGCAAACGCCAAACGGACGCCAGCCAATTCCATCAGCCGGTGCATCTGCATTCATCAACCACTGTTGCCCACACCCACATGAATGAATCAATTGAAGCCAACGATTGGTAGGGGACCGGACCTTTCCTGCCTGAGTAGCTTATTGTATTGCCATCCATCCATATATCCTGGCTTCTTCTTCCATCTGTTTGATGATCGATGCTAGTAGTACTAGTAGCCAAGGTGAGATTTTTTTATATACAAAATAAACATGCATGATGATGAGCTGCAGAAGCTAAATTATGTTTATGTTTATATGCGTTCATCCACTCCAGCTCCATTGACTGATGGCATGCAACAGAGGTACTGTGCAGTACTGTGCGTCTGGTCTTGGATGGGCAGATGGCAGTGGCCTGGAAAACAGACATTCTGCTGCTGGGCAGAGGAGAGGACAGAGGGGAATGGCAGAGCTGATCCATGATGAGAGAGCTTCCAGTGACAGTGTGTGTGTGTGTGTCCCCCATGTTGGCGTCCTGTTGCTTGCATGATTTGATTTGATATGATATATACAGGTGGAGCCTGCTTATTGCCTAATACTGTGTTGATCACATTATCCACCAGCTAATACTGGTAGGGCCCTCCCTCCATGCTCTGGGAATTCAATTCAATTCATCAGGTCAAACAAATTGACCCCCTGGTTTACCAAGTGTAGTACTGGTACTACGAGTACTTGCCAATTGACAAAGCATTTCCACCTTGTTCGTTGATGCTGAAATTTGGCTTATGCTGATGCTTGCGTTGAAATGTTGTGAGAGAAAAACATTGTTCCATGGCTGAAATACTTGGCTAACTTTTTCAACATTTCGTTTAAACGCTGCTCGTGCTTTTGATCCCATCCACTGTACTGTATTCTATCATCATTATAATATGTTCGTTCATTGTACCATGGATTGTGCGCTTCTAATTAATGATGACACCAATTAAGAGTTCTCTTTATGTCAAAATTTGATCTTAGTAAATAAGGCTGATAACTGAGAAATGATTGAACACCAGTTTTTTAGGTTGATAAAAGTCCATCCATTTGTCAATGGAGTTTTTTTTTTAGATTACGGAATAAAAGCATTCCGGCCTGCATCATCCAACTTGTCAGGGGAGTTGATCTTAACTCTTACTAAGTGATGTACTGCGATTTCTAAGAACACTAGTACAATCGTCATTGCTTATATTAAAACAAATTAAAAGCTTTGGACAAAGATTATGGGACAGTGATTCTGACATCATCTGGTTGGCGCTCCGAGTCCGAGATCTATGTAGTTAATCTAAAAAAACAGTTGTTCAATCAAATACCGTGGTTCAGAAACATTTTTGCCATTTTTACCTGTATATTAGTTTTAGCTAGACAATGGTGGTAGTAAAGCTTTCACTGTATATTCAGGAAAAACGACTTCATATACTAGCACCTAATAAGTCGCCATCAGTTTTTTGGTGATGTGTATTGGGAAAAATAAAGAATTTGCACTGATGTCAGGATCCTGAGAAACATTTACCATGATTCATTCCCTGTGATATGATATTGCAAGTACAAAAATGGAAAAAGTAATGCTTAGATTTACGGCTGTACTCTGTACAGGTGAAGAACTTAACTGATGCAGTTGGATTATTGTTTCAAACTGAAACCAATTTAGCTTTTTTCTTTTCCAATTCTATAGATATTAGGAGATGAATAAGAATAATGGCATCCCCCAATTTAGCTTTTCTTTTTTTTTCTTGAAATTCCATGGCTATTAGGAGAGGAGATGAATAAGAATAATGGCGTCCCCTGATATGTTCCCATTTCATTTGGCAAAGTTGTCAAGCAGAGTAGGAATTTATACCATCTTTTTGTCAGTGCAGCATTTGTGAGGTGAATATATGCTCATTTTTTTATTCTTTCTGAGAAAACAATACATGATTTTTTTTTCAACGATTCCGCCACAGAAGTCAAGTTTGGCTACCGAAAACGACCATTCTATGTCTTTGTCACCAACGTTGGATCTGACTCTACTCTACCAGTCTAGTCGATTCAACCGCGGTGTGGTAAGTCTTTTTTCTTACTGATCTCTCTACGCCAACAAAGAAGATATCATGGTATCTTTCATGTACCCATTCCAGCCTCACTCTTGAAGATGGTCATCGCCCTAGCTACATTGCATTTGTTTCATGCCCATTTACCCTGCATGGAATAATCTGCCTAAAGTTCCTAGCTACATTGGCTTAGGTTTGGACAAATCAGACACACATGCATATCACAGGTTTAAATGTGGCCAAATAGGCACAAAACCTGAACTCTGAAGAAGTAATGGTGGCCAGGCCATACCCCCACAAATGCTGTAGCTACCTCCAGGAATGCATTGCACTTGCTGCATACATGCATTCAAGTAAGCTGTTCATATCATACAGCTATACACAACACCACAACATCATTGACCAATGGTGACCTGATGAATTGGAGCACATGAGC